TGACCTGAGCCGAAGGCAGATGCCTAACAACTGAGCCTCCCGGGTGCTCCTGTTTGTGTGTGTAGTTTCTTATGGATGCAGAGTGCTTTATGTTTAGAAGAGAAGTAGAATTTTGAAATTATTCATTAATTTATCTCTGAGGGCACAAAATTTATTTTTTTAAAAGCATACTTAGGACGCCTGGGTGCTCAGTCGTTAAGCGTCTGCCTTCGGCTCAGGTCATGATCAAGTTAAGTTCTTACCTGTTGTACAATGTGAATTAAGTAATTTTATCACTTTAAGCCTTAGTTTACCAATGAAATAATGTAGTTAGACTCAATTTTCTTTTTTAGTTCTTTAATTGTGATTTTTAGGAGAAAAGAGATCTCATTTTGTAATATTTGAAAGAACCTAATACTCTAGAGTTATCACAAAATTAAATACATCTCATGCAACTTAATCATGATTCCTTATGAGAAAAACAAATGGATTTAAGAGACAAAAGTAGATTCTGAATAAGTAGGACTACAACACAGGGTTTCTTAGTTTCTGACCTGCCATTTTTCCAACAGAATCTAGTTGTATGCACTTTGCCCTAAATAATAAGAGAATGGGAATGGTTCTCCTGCCCTCCAATTTCTCTGCTAGTAATGTCTGATTATTTTCTCCATCAAAGCTCGCCATCACCTAAGCCCTGAGCTGAGAGACCATCAAATCACTGAAGTATAGGATTTAGAGCAGATGGTCAGTACCAATATAGGTTACCAGTCTATTCTGTGTTCAAACAGGTGCAGATCTTCATAGCGTAGTATCAGTTGGATATTTTGAGTTAATGTTAGCTCTGGTCACTTTAATTAACCCTCATATTTAGCTGAGATGAGCTGTGTCTTCATTTATTAATTCATTTTACAGAACACTACACACAGACCTCTAGTGTTTGCTTAGTGTGCCAAGTGCAGTGTTGTATGGCTTCATGAGTATTCCATGCAGTGAAAATGCTTGTCGATGGGGCTTTAAAAAGTGGACTTCTCACTGATATGGATATTCAGTACACCTAACACTTTGAGCCTGATTTTATCTTGTTTTATTGAGACACACATGGATCGCACAGGTAATAGATCGTTTTTAATTTTATAATTATATATATTATATATCATGGACCACTTTACTAAATATTGAGCAATCAAGCTGGGGAAATGTTGATGCTTTTTAAAAGTTATATTCAAGGGTGTCTGGGTGGCTCAGTCGTTAAGCGTCTGCCTTCAGCTCAGGTCACGATCGCAGAGTCCTAGGATTGAGCCCCGCATCGGGCTCCCTGCTTGGCAGAACCTGCTTCTCCCTCCCTCACTCCCTCTGCTTGTGTTCCTGCTCTCGCCATCTCTCTGTCTGTCAAATAAATAAATAAAATCTTAAAAAATAATAAATAAATACAAGTTATATTCAGGTATTCAAGGGGGAGAGGCATAATTTGCAATTGAAATGCAAGGAACGGGCGCCTGGGTGGCTCAGTTGGTTAAGCGACTGCCTTCGGCTCAGGTCATGATCCCAGGGTCCTGGGATCAAGTCCCGCATCGGGCTCCCTGCTCTGCGGGGAGCCTGCTTCTCCCTCTCCCGCTCCCCCTGCTTGTGTTCCCTCTCTCGCTGTGTCTCTCTCTGTCAAATAAATAAATAAAATCTTAAAAAAAAAAAAAAAGAAATGCAAGGAACTTCAAGAAATGTAGGGCTATCCTTTTGTGCACTGCTGACATGAATGTAAAATGGTATAGCCACTCCAGAAAGTTTGGTGGTTCCTTAAATATTTAAACAGAATTATCATATGATCCAGCAGTTCTTGTCCTAGGTATATATTCAAAAGAATTGAAAGCAGGGACTCAAATAGATACTCGTACCCATGTTCACAGCAGTATTACTCACAATAGACAGAAGGTGGGAACGACCCAAATGTACATCAACAGAAGAATAGATAAACAAGTTTGGTGTATATATACACAGTGAAATACTGTTGAGCCTTTGGGGCGCCTGGGTGGCTCAGTCGGTTAAGCGTCTGCCTTCAGCTCAGATCATGATCCCAGGGTCCTGGGATCGAGCCCTGCATCGGGCTCTCCGCCCAGCGGGAGGCCTGCTTCTCCCTCTCCCACTCCCCCTGCTTGTGTTCCCTCTCTCCCTGTCTCTCTCTGTCAAATAAATAAATAAAATCTTAAAAAAAAAAAAAAGAAATACTGTTGAGCCTTTGAATGGAATGAAATTCTGATACATCTTACAACATGGGTGAAGCGTGAAAACATTATGCAAAGTGAAATAAGCCAGACACGGAAGGACAAATATCATGCGATACCACTTATTTGAGATACTAGAATAGGTGAATTTATAGGGACAAAAAGCAAAATAAAAAGTAGCGAGGACTGAGAGAAGGCAAATGAAGAGTTATTGTCGAATGGATACAGAGTGTCTGGGATCATGAAAAGGTGCTGGAAATGGAGAGTGGGAATAGTTTTGCAACATTGTGAATAGACTTAATGCTACTAAACTGCACACTTAAAAATGGTTAAAATGGCAGATTTTATGTTACGTATATTTTATCGCACACACACACACACACACACACACTTCAAAGAAAAAGAAGCATAGGTCCATTTCCAGGTCTTGCTGTATTCAGTCCTGTTTTTCTACCTTCTTCATGGTTTTGCTTCATTCGCCACAGAGAGCTTCTTAGTATGGGCTCAGTATGCTTGAAGTTGGCCTGATGGATGTGTTTAGGTCAGAACCCACTGGTTTTGCTACAAGGAGCCTTGCTTTTTTTTTTTTTTTAAGATTATTTATTTATTTATTTATTTGAGAGAGAGAGAATGAGAGACAGAGAACACGAGAGGGAAGAGGATCAGAGGGAGAAGCAGACCCCCCGCTGAGCAGGGAGCCCAATGTGGGACTCGATCCCGGGACTCCAGGATCATGACCTGAGCCGAAGGCAGTCGCTTAACCAACTGAGCCACCCAGGTGCCCCGGAGCCTTGCTTTTTATACTTGTTAACAATTTGGAGGGTGGGTAGGTGAGGGGGAGGTAGTTTAACTTGGGAAAACAGTGCATGTTGGACTCAACCATTCCGACAAGGAAAGCATGCTTTTGTGGCAAACCGAAAGGCTAGGAATCCCGGGTGATGAAACACAGGCCTTCCGGCCCTCACTCTGTTCCTGATTTCTGGTTGTGGGAATCTGCTCTGAATCCAACTGCAAGTGGAAAACCCATCTTTGGCTGAGCAGCCAGGGAGGCCCTCCTGCCAATCCCCTAAACGTGTTGCTGAAACTTTGGCCCTGTGAGGATGGAGCTGAGGCTGTCTTCCCGAGATCTGTGCCGCTGTCAAGGTGGCTGTGATGGGACTGTGACCGGCCTCTGCACTACATTTTGGCAGTGACCTTGAGACCTGCCAGCTCACAGCAGCTGTCCTGGTTCTTTCTCTCCTGCCACGGTTGCCTGGCCAGGGGGCTAAGGGAGGGCGCTAAACTCCTCTGGCTCTGGCATTCTCAGGGACTGGCAAGTTCCGACTACAGTGCCCAACGCTCTCAGTGCCTACCACCCACTGGGTATGGTGGCAGTCCAGGTGTGTGAGGGTGGGTGGCTGCTAGTGCCGCCTCTGGCTCAGCTCCCAATCCCTGGGAAGCGGGTGGCCCCGTCTGACCATCAGTGGGGTGGGCAGAAGGCTCCGCGGTTGTGGCGGGGGGAGGGGGGGGCGGCGCAGGGAACCTGCTTGGCAGCTCCAGGGAGAGATGCTCAGTGACAGTTGATGATCTTGGGAGACAGAGGAGCCAAAGGTGCCCCTTTTGTCCCAAATGTGTGAACCCACCTTCAGACGGGAGGGATTTCTTTAGGAAATGAAGGTCACCAGAAATGTCCAGAGCAAGAGAGAGAAATCTTCTCTCTCCAGCCACTGAGAGTGACAAGTGTATTTTGAAAACTCCTCCCCCTCTCCTTGTCCTCATCCTGTCCTTTTGCTTTCAAGTGGCTTCATTAGTATTTTTTAATTCGCCTTTGTCATTGGACATTTATTGACAGAAATCAAATTGCTGTATTTCTGGGCAAAGCGCCTGCTGCAAAGAGGTGTGGTTCCCGGGGAATGAGACACGCAGCCCAACAGCTGAGCCTACACTGTCCTCACATAACCTCCCTGCCTTAAATATCGCCAATATTTAGCCTTGCCTTATAAAGTAAAAATGCACAATACCTTCCAGAGTTTCAGCAAGCCCAAATGCCCCCCTCGGCTCAGTTATATCTCCTGTACGTTGGAGGCTGAGCCGCGCACCCCTCCCCCCGCACAGACCTGCCCTCGGAGCCGCCAAGAGGTTACTAATCAGGGAGCCTCCGCCATCGATCCGATGGTGGAGACCTGGGGGATTTGTGTGCATTGTTTTTGCTGAAGCCTCCTGTGATTTCGGCGCGACCAGATCCTCTGCAGCGCACTCCATGTCGCAGCTTGTGGCTGCCTGTGTCCTGTGGTGAGAGCGGAGCCGCACAGGAGATCCTTTGTCTAGGAAGGCTAGCAGAGAAGATCACTTTGGAGTTGCTAAGCTCTGCATTGCCATTGGCTGCACTCTTTGTGGGGCTGTTTTTGCAAAAGGCATGCCCAGCACGTCTACAGTGCTGGCAGGCCAGGGCTGCCTTTAAACACCATGATAATAATACCAAAAAGCAGTTTGCAGAACTGTTCCACTGTAGAGGCTTCCTCTGCAGAAGCAAGCAAGATGGCTACCTCGTGGGCTTCGCTGTGAAGAATGCAGAGGCTAATTAAGACAGACTTTAAGGGGAAAAAAGGGTATTTCCCTACTTCATCTTTATGCAAGGCTTTTTTTCAGTGACTTTTCAAGTATACATTTTACATAAGCTCTTTAGGTTCTGCCTAGCAAACATGTTGATGATTTTAAATGGTCTAAGTAGTTTTATAGAGAAATAGCCAAAAATTTGGGGGGGGGGTGGGAGCTAATTTTTTTTTTCTTAAACGGAGGCTCATTTTGCAATTTGATTTTTTTTAGGTTATAAAAGAAAACAAGAGGCCCCAGAGGGAAAAGAAGCCCAAAGTTTTAAAGGTAATCAGCTATTGATTAAATCATATTTAATTTTTTGCCATTTCATATAGTATTTTTCTGTCACTTAGGAGTAAATTTGGAGTACAGTGGATGTGAATTCTCCCGGATTTTCAGTAGATAAATGAATTTTCACTCAACTGAAGTGTTTTCTCTCTCTCTCTCTCTTTTTTCTGATGTGCTGCATGATGTGCATATTAGCATCCTTTATTTTCAACTCCACACAAGTCTGCAGAAGGAAAAGTTTATATGCAAAGTGTTGTGAATAAAATTTGTTTTTCTTTGTAGATCCTTTTGTAGCATCTGCCTTTGTGGTGTTGCACCAGTGTGTAAACTTAAGCTCTTAAGGAGACACTATTTGAAGTTGACAGCTATGATCCATTGTGATTTTAATAGACCTTCCATTAGATACTATTTTAAAATGTGTGGTTTTGCTTTCCAAAGGAAAAGGTCCTTAGAGATTTTAGTTCAACTTAAAATATGTAAGCCATCAAGATCAGCCAAATTATCATTGCCTAATCCCAAATTCTCATTGAATCATTTTTAATTTTGGCATTCATAGAGCTGTAGGAAATATACATGTTTTCTTTATTTTCAGTGGTTTGCCTAATGAGTATTTATCAGTAACCTAATTCGGTTATAAGCTAACAGTCTGTGTTATGAGCTTTGTACAGTATTTAGAAGGGTTAATTTAAAAGCATATGGCACTACTCAAAGTTCAAGGCTAGCTTTAGTTTAGCAAATGGGTGCTTATGTGTTAAAGGTTTCAAGTGGCATATTGCTGTTATAAATGTAAGCAACCTGAGCAAGTAACCTTTTTAATTCAAAAAACACATATTAAGCAATAAAACTTACTGATCTTTAAAATTATATCATGTATATATAATTAACAATATTTTAACCTAATCTTAGCTTTTCTTTTGCAAATAAAGTTTTAGCACTCAAAGAGGAACAACATGTTGAACTATGGATGTGGCAAATTTTTGTTCATTTGCTTCCCCAGTTGTGTACCTTGAAAATGTTTTTAACATGGAGAACCAAACCTTGCATTGCTTTCAAATTTGTCTAACCACCTTGAGTTTCTGTTTCCTGTGTGTATGCGGCGTTGCCATGTACATTTTCATCAACCAACAAGTTATTTGTTTAATATTTACCACACAGTCATCAGTGTTCTAGGCACTGAAATGAATGAAATTGCTTGGCACAGATTCTCATTGGGCCTGGACAAATAGAATACTGGTTATTTTCAAGGTAAATTAACCCCTCCTGTTTTTCTTCTGCATATTGATCTACCCACCCCCTTTTACTTCCTTTCCCTCCTCCAACTATAAAATTGTATCATTAAAAGCCCTGCTTATATTTCTTAATCTCTTCTTACACTTTCTGTGTTGGGTGTATCCATCTCAGGTGTTTTGTCTTCAACTCTTCAAGTGAAAAATCATTTTAGTGCTGCTGTTAAAATGGCTCTCAGATTTGCAGGGGTTAGGGAAGGGGCATAGGAGAAAGAGGTCAATTGCATGGACATATTAATATAGATGAAGCTTGGTAGCTAAATCATCATCTGCCTTTGCTAGGAAGTAGAATTGGGTTTGGGGGATACTATTTAATTCTATGTTTATTTTGTTAGTCTGTGGGTGTCCTGTCACCTGAAATAAATTTCAGAAGTAAATATACCATGTGTTGCTTTTTTGAATTAGGGCAATGGACTCTGACTTATTTTAAAATAAATGCCTGTGGGTGGCTGAATTTCATGTGCCACAGCAACAGAACTGAATTGTTGCTCACTTTCCTCTATAGTTATCAGTTGTTGTATAAGAGTAGGGAAATGCCCTAAAAGGAAAAAATCATTTTTCCCCCTGATGTTGGCATTTTAAAATGTTTAATTTTCTCTTAGCTGTAATGTATTTTGTTCTCCAGAGAAAGCTTTGTTTCTTTGTTCCACAGTAGAAATGCTAAAATACTTTCAGATTTTAGCTCGATGTGTAAAATAGGTAGAATATTGTACAACCCTGAAGGAGATGTTATGAAAACTAAATCCATATTTTGGGAGGGAGGGCGGGGAAAGAGTACAACTTTCAGCTTAAGGTTTTATGGATGAGGACTCAGTATTGCAGCTGGCTGCTATCTGGGGGAGCAGTGATGGGAGTCTACAGGTTACAGCTTGGTCTCCTTTCATAAATCTCTCTTTGTGTTTGGCATTGTGCCAGAGATCTAGTCCACTTCCTTTGACTCTGGCCTCTTAGATCTTCAAATCTGGGTCCCTTGCTTTTTGTCAGGGTGGATGCTGCAGGTATCCTAAGCAAAGATTTTCATCTTCATCATCTGTGAAGAAGTAATTGGACAGGTGAAGAGTCTGATTAAGGGAATTGGGTGCAGAATTGAAGCTTGTCCCATCCTCCTCTGAACCTGCTAACTAAATATTGAATCCAGTTGTGGGGCTGAAATTGCCTGATATGTCTCATACCTCTCACTTTTTTTTTTTTAAAGATTTTATTTATTTATTCATGAGAGACAGAGAGAGAGAGAGAGAGGCAGAGGGAGAAGCAGGCTCCCAAGGAGCAGGGAGCCCGATGCGGGACTCGATCCCAGGACCCCGGGATCATGACCTGAGCCGAAGGCAGACGCTTAACCATCTGAGCCACCCAGGCGCCCCTCATACCTCTCACTTTTAAGCAATCTGTTATCTATATCAATAACCTATATTCATTCTATTGTAGTTCAAAATGTAAAACTGTAGATAGTGACTTCAAATCCCTGACTAGAGAGAGAATTCTCCTCTAGTTGAAATGCCAGTTTCTGTCCAAAGCACTCAGATGGCCAGAATGGATATCGAATGATGTGGGTAGGAGGTAGGTGAAGCACAAATTCCTACCCCCACTGGTTCTGGAGGACCAGGTTCCTGCCCAAGTCCTGTTGATTATCACTAGAGTTATTTTATATATACATGGCAGCTTATTGGCTGTGCTGTAATTATTTCCTTGACTCTTGAGTAAGGTAAAGGTGTGAAATAATTTCAGGCATTGATTCATAAAATTGGACTTGTGAGTGGCATGATTTGGAACTCCACTTGGTAGAAACATTTATGTAAATAATCTCTACTTGATGTGTCAGGGTAAGAGGATATATTCCCTTAAGAGAATGTCGATTTTAAGGTAATATCACTTTGGTTAGGTTGTCAAGCGTTGTCCCTGGAAAAAAATCAGATTGCATGGTCATTTGGGGATATTGAGGGGAATTTAATAAAGGAATTATTTAAAAGGTGTGGGCAGGGTTAAGGGAAAAACTAGGGATGGCAAAGCATCCCGGGACTAATGACAGCAGAGATTTCTCACCACTCCTAGGCCTGAAGGGGCCAGGGAGTGAGATCAGAAACCCAGATACAAAGAATAGTTGAAGTTGAAGAGTTGGAGCAGGGTCTTTTATTGCAGCCTTTGATAACGGGATGTTTCTGCAGAGAGGAAGTTTTGGGATGTGGGGGATCCAAATAAATACCCTGCCCTCCAGTTTTCTGCTGTTTTCATTGGTGGATCCAATCAGTAGCCAAAAGGGGACAGGATGGTGTGTTCAAAAATAGTACCAGAATCATTATTATAAGAAGGTAACATTAGGCGAGACTGGGTGAAGTGTATATAAGAAACCCTATACTATGTTTGCAACTTATCTGTAAATCTAGAATCATTTCTTTTCTTTTTCTTTTAAGATTTATTTATTTATTTGACAGAGAGAGCAAGAGAGCACAAGCAGGGGGAGTAGTAGAGGAAGAGGGAGAAGCAGGCTCTCCACTGAGCAGGGAACCCCATGGGGGACTCGATCCCAGGACCCTGGGATCCTGACCGGAGCTGAAGGCAGACACTCAACATCTGAGCCCCCCAGGCACCCCTAAAATCATTTCAAAATAAAAAGCATGGGCATCCCTGGCAGGAACCATATTTATACATTCTATAAGTAGAGACACTCTTTCGAGGGCAGTAAGGGATATTTTCTAGCTATTTGGTTATAAAATATTATCAAAGTCATATTTGGAAGAACTGAGTGAACAAATATAAAGAAATGTCAGTGGATATTAAACCAGGAAATGGTCTGCAGATGATTTAGAAAAGAAATGAAAACTAAATGATCTTCCTGCTAGCTTCTACACTGGCAGCTCTGCTCTTCACTGTTTCCTTCCTTCCTTGATGATGCTGATAAAGGAGAACAAGTGGTACTGGGGGCTGATGGGGGACATAGACATATTTCTCACTAGGAGAGAAGACACAAGCATATAGCTATACTTAAAATACATTTTTAAAGATTTTATTTATTCATTTGTCAGAGAAAGAAAGAGAAAGAGCACAAGCAGGGGGAGCGGGAGAGGGAGAAGCAGCTCCCCACTGGGCAGGGAGCCTGATGCAGGACTCGATCCCAGGATGCTGGGATCATGACCTGAGCTGAAGGCAGACGCTTAGCTGACTGAGCCACCCAGGTGCCCCTACTTAAATATCTTTTTGAAAAATGTTTTGAAAGGAGAATCAAATCATAAATAAATCATATTCATACATGGTCTTGATTTGCATGACATAGTGACATTCAAAATATTTAGTACAATCCTTGTCTGGCACATAGTAAATGCTCAGTAAGCTCAATTTCCTGAACAACATCATTTACATTCAATATTATTATTTTTTTAAGCATATACTAAATGCTGGGGCTACAATGGTGTACAACCCCAAAATGGTTTCTGCCTTCATGGAGATTAACTTTGCTTAGGAAAGGCAGGGAAAAAAAATTAAAGACAAATGAATAAATTACAGGGCGCCTGGGTGGCTCAGTCGTTAAGCGTCTGCTTCGGCTCAGGTCATGATCCCAGGTTCCTGGGATCGAGCCCCGCATCGGGCTCCCTGCTCGGCGGGAAGCCTGCTTCTCCCTCTCCCACTCACCCTGCTTGTGTTCCTGCCCTCGCTATCTCTCTCTGTCAAATAAATAAAATCTTTAAAAAAAAAAAAAGAATAAATTACAAATTGTAG